ACAAGGATTCATTTACAAATTACTGGGAATTGGATCTGCCAGACAGAATGCCTCATCACCATGTGTTTCAAATCAGCGTGTTCCACCATATTGAGGGGAGTTTCCAGACCAAACACCTCTGATTGGTTTTAATGAACCTATTGTGAATGATAAATGGCTTGACATTTTGAAGAGAAAAGCAATGAACTGCATCCTTCCCCTCTGCCTCTTGAGACAATGAGACATCTTGGGATGACAAATATAGAAAATCCAAGATAAATACAGATTCCCCACCCTTCTGCTAAGCCTCTCTGTTAAATCCATTTTTCTCTAACTAATATAGAAATTGATGGTGAGCAGAAGCAAATCGGGATGGATAACTAAATACTCAGTTGAAAAACGGTGTGCTATTAGTGGAAAGAAAAACTTGCAGAGTAAATAAATAGAAATAACCTATAAACGTTTCATTATAAAGATTTTTAAACTTTTATTTTATCAGCTTCTAGGTTTTAATACTGAAAATATTCCTCATGTTTCAAGAACGGTGGTTGTGCCAAAAGAGGAGATCATTCATATTCATTCTCTGCTTCACTGTACTCTTGACTTCCTGCAAGTGACCAGTTAAAGATCAATGAAAACTTAACAATACTAATGATTACATAGTACCTAGCATAGCACCTAGAATTAAATATGATAAATCGGTTAACTTTTTCTTCAAAATTCAATCACCTCTCATACATTGAATTAGTGTTATGGAAATGTTGTTTTGATTACATTTAATTGGCTAAAAAGTGGGTGTCATATGATTATCCAAACATGAGATAGCATATGAGTATCAAAATGTGATGTTAAATATAAAATAGAAAGATTGTTCCACTTTTAATGAATTTTTTTCTCTTAAGATTAAGACATCATTTCCAAACCTTGCTTTTAAAGGAGCATTTTATTCAACTTTTTTGAAATTATATTATGTAGAGCCCAATTTTTTCACTGTGTACCAATTTTTGTTTCCAATGTTTCTCTGATTATAAGTATGGGTCATATTCAATTCTGCCTTAATTTAAGATCATCTTTATTTCATGCTTCTGGTTGCAAGTATTGTAGCTATTTTTGGCCCAACTCTTCACTTGTCTCTTTCAAAGAAAGGGGACTTAAAGAATACTCTATTAAGGATTCTACCTTCTTAATTTCCTGGAGACTGGAGTGGGACATCCATGGGTCTGGATATATGTTTCAGGAAGACTCATATACAACCACTTTGGAAAACTCCAGGAAAGGGAAATGACCACAGTTAGCCACTAAAGATGGTACAAATCAGATCTTAGCAGCTTAATCCGCATTGCCTCAAGCTGAAAATAAATCAAATGCCATTCAGCAGTATACCACATCAACAGAGAGGCCTGGTAGAACAACAAGTTAAGCATGGGGCTACTGAACCTAAAGCTGGTTGCCCCAGCCCCCCAGCCACCCCCCACGGGAAAAAAGGATACACTCTGACCCACGAAGATTTACAAGCATAGAAATCCTAGGAAGCAGTTCCACTCTGCCGTTAGGTCACTGGATTTATGCCACTAGGTGAGCAGGTCAAAACCAACAGGTGCTCTACCGGAGACAGATGAGTGAGGCTTCCTACTCCCACAAAAGATGTACTGTCTCAGAAACCCACACAGGCAGTTCTGTTCGGCCGATAGGGTCCCAACAGGTCAGATTCAACTGGATGGCAGTGGGTTTGGCTCCTCCCCTCCCTCTCTGGCATAGAAAATTTAAAAGCAAGCTAAACTACTCTCCCGTATTAGAGAAGTCAGATTAAGGGTCACTTTGGGTATGGACTAGGAAGAGCTATGAGTGAATTTCCCAGAATAGTGAAAATATTCTATATATTTATCTAAGTGAGAGTTAAGTTGGAACATACACATATTTCTTTCACCAAATTGCACACTTAAGATTTGGACACTTCATATATATATGATGCATCACCAAGTGAAGCAAAAATGCCTGCCTTTACTGTAGAGATTGTATTTTGTACTTAATATGAAAATCATAATATGCCATAAAAATGAAATGCGAGTGTCTTCTTAACTTATGGAGCCTTTTAAAGGACCACCACTGATAGCATTTATGCAAAGTCCCGCTGACATGCCCGCTCCATCTCAAGCAACGTTAACCACAACCACTCACAAGCACGAAGGCAGAAAGTACAACATCAAAGCAAAATAACGGATAGGCATTCTAATCATATCAAAAAAAGGTCCAGACTCACTTAAGTACATATTAATGTATTCATGTAATCATTCAGTGAGTCAATAACAATGGTCTATCAGTTTGGAGAATAATTAAAAAGAGCGGTGGCGGCAGCCAAGCAACCCAACTTTTCAAAGGCTTGGAGCAAGCTCTTGGTGAGCCGGGCCCAGGCAACCTGCAGGCACCCTGCCGGCAGCCAAGATGCCCACAGGGAAGGTCGGCTTGCAGGGCAGAAGAGGCAGTGAAGAAGGAGACCGTGCGATTGACAGAGAAACAAGCCTGCGCTGTGAAAAGTGGAAAAGAAGCTAAAACAGGCAGAAGGAAAGGAGAGAACTTCAGACTTAAAAAAAAAAAGGGGTGGTGGTCTGGACAAAAGCGAAAAGGGGCGCAAAGGGACAACAGGCTGAAGTATTTAACTGCTGAAAATGGAAACACGAAAAACTCGGAGAGTCCAACCTCCGATAAAGCAGGAGAAAAAGAAGCCAAGTCTGATTAGGGTTTGTCTACCCTGTCTTATCGGTGATGGCAGAGGGATATGTTTTTCAGCGATTTGGTAAAAAGATGAGCCCTGGTCGTGTCGTGGGTATCTGTTGGGCTGCTAGTCACGAAGTTAGCAGCTCAGGACCCCCAGCCCCTTGTGGTGAAAGAGATGAGGTTCTTCTCTCATCAAGAATCATTTGTTCAGAAATGCACACGGGCAGTCCTATAGGGTCACTATGAGTTGGATTGGTTTTTAAGTTTTGATATTTTATAAATGTAACTATTTTAGGAGTTCTAGAAACATTTTAAAGAAAGAGTATATCACCTTTTTCATTCGTGTAAACACTTTTTTTTAAAGACATGAAATCATTTACTCGTTTGTTTTTTGCTATGACTAGAAATCCGTGGAATGTTGAATTGTGGGACGAATTGGCTACTCTGGGTGTCAGTGTATCATGGGATGGGGTGGGAGTTTTGTATCCCTAATATAGAATACACTTAATGGCCACTTGGAGTCACAGTCATACATATGTATGACGTGAACATTTTAAATTATTTTTCCGTGTTATTTCACAGTAGAATTGGGTCTGAAACCCTTCCTTCCTCATGGTTCTCCTGTCAAAACTGTGTGCATTCTTTAACCATTTGGTCCTGGTAGTCCCGTTTCCTGATAACTTTGGTGCTCTGTGAAAAGCTGAAAAACTGACTATGTAAAGTGGGTGAGATTACATTGTGAATTAATGAGATTTACAATGTAACAGTTTATCTGTATTTGAAGATATTGGTACTTGATACCATTTTAAGGGAAATTTGAATCTAATTCTAGAGCTGGGAAGTCAATGGGATTTAGAAAAGAATTGTACATACATATAATTTGAGAATTTGGGTCTGTTTGTTAGGAATTATATACAAATGGTTCCTGTCTCTGTACTGATTCTCAAAACAATCAATAAAATACCAGTTTTGAAAGAAAACAAAAGGAGCCAGGCACATGCCACACCTTTATGGTGCCCACTTTTCAGAAGATAAAATGAGACTGAGGCATACACAACCAGGGCAAAGCAGAGTAAGTATCCTAGTACAGCATGGACCCAGTTTAACAGAAAGCATAAGAGAAACTTCTGGAAAATGCTCAGGAGCATTTGTTTTCTACTAACTCATCAATTTGTCATGGAAACTACTGGGGTTATTCATTTAATCATTAGAGTCTCTAGTGATATGGTAGGTTATGTATTAGGATGCTAAAACAAGGTCAGAGTACAAACCCACCAGCCACTTCTCAGAGAAAATATGAGGTTTTCCATTCCCATGGAGACGTATAGCCTTGGAATCTCACAGAGTAATCCTACTTTGATCTATAGGGGGTCTAGGACTCAGAATTAACTCCATGGCAGTGACTTTTTGACTCCTGTTTCCATTGTAGGTCGGAGGCCTGGTAGCGTAATAGTTAATTCAAACCACAAGATCAGCAGTTCAAAACCACCTGCGGGTTTGTGGGAGAAAGACTTGGCTTTCTACTATTATAAAGAGTTATCATCTTGTCAACCCCAGGGGAAGTTCTACCCAATAGAGTCACTGTCAGTAGGCAAGGGGTCCATGGCAGGGAGTCGAGGTCATCCCCACTGTAAAGCAGGAAGCTGGATTTGGTGTGTGATTCATCCCAAGCATCTACAATGCACATGATAGAACACTCGATTTTTTATAGATTCCAGACTCATCAGGAAGATTTCAAATAGTCAAATATGTGCTTACTTCTACCACAAAGAAGTGGAACCACCAAAGTGCAGATAAGATATGGGAAACTAAATAACCCATAAAGAAAGAGGACTAAACCTCACTTTTTGGTTAACAGAATTGACTCACCAAACACTACTTATAACCCACTTTCATCGGTGCAAGCAAGGGTTAGGGACCTACAGCTAAAATCTGGGATAGCTTTCAGAGTTGGGGTGTTTCCTTCCTTTTTTTCCTTTTGGCTTTGTAAGAGTCATCAAGATTGCAATGACAGGATTAAGAAACTTGGGTGACCATTAGGTGACTATTTCTCATAAAACCATGCAGGTCCTGAAATGCACAGTATCTTAAGCCTGCCAAAGTGAGAAAAATAAACACATAAACGGGTGTAATTATTTTTTCACCTCTTTAAACACATCTCGAAGCCTCACCTGGATTAACCTGCATGATGATTATTAAATTACAAGTGCTGAGAAAAGACACATTAGTTTCTTTGTAAGAGAGGATAGGAGCATCTCTTCTGTGACTTCGGCAGTAACCACCCCAAATTGTTTTATTCCTTCTAGTGCCAAGTGCCCCACCGCAGAACATCTCCCTGGAAGTGGTTAATTCAAGGGTAAGTTGGCCAAATATTCACTACTTCATTACTGACTCAGGCACAGCGCATCCACCTGGTTGGGTACAGATGGCCCACCTCAAAGGGAAGAACCATTTCAGAGCAACAGTAAGTGTGAAAATCCCCCGAGCTTCTTCCATAAGATTTGAATCAATTAAATGATGGATTGGCTTACTTCAGGTTCACTGATTTTTCATAAATGTTATAAAGGCTGAAGGTTATTCTACCCTCAAACAAATAGACCTTTCTTTTTAACCTACATTTACCAGTACATAACTATAGCCAAGTTCTAGAGAGGGCAAGGGAGTGTGGAAATAAATAAAACCAGTGAAAAAAGTGGGCTCAAGGAAAACTTGGTTTCCTGTAAGTATATTTGGAACTGAACATTTCCTCATCATTTCTGTTTTCCCTTAGAAATGTCTACATTGAGGGACATTCTCCGAGCTGGATAAGGTTATTTTTATGAAGCAGTGTTGCCTAGTGATTCATGATATCCTGGCTTGAAAAGTTAGCGTAACTTTCCTAGGATCATAGTTTAGAAGCATCTCATTATTTCAACTACATTCTAGAGTTGATAATAAATCAAAGCCAGGTCCTAGGGTAGAACAAAGAATAAGTGATCTGACCTTGACCCTCTCATTTCATAATATTCACACTTTGAGAAATCATTTTGCTATTGCTTAGCCTTGGTTTACTTGCTTCCTAAGTAAGACGGCTGACCTACATGACTTCTAAGATCGGCGTGACATCAGGGCAACGACATGGGTTTTAGAGAACATTGGAACTCGGATTTTAGTCCTAATTTCCTATTTAATAATCATGTGCAGTCTTAGAATGTATATTCAGATAGTGTGGGTTTTGAGTACACGTCATTGACATAGCAGAAGCAAGAGGTAATATCTGCAACGAACCTCTCTTGATGTCAGAAGTTATTGTGTTACTCCCTGTACAATTCCTCGTAGATGCAAATGTCTATGATGGAGTCATGTTTGGGGACTTAATCAGCTTTGTGTCTGCAGAACAGATTTTCACAGCTAGTTATCTAGCTCCTAAAGTTGTTATCTTCTTCTATTTCTTGGCACTATATTGCATAAAAATTAGCAAAACAATTTCAAAAGTAGAAGGGTGAAAGATAAGTGAACTTAGGAGAAATGGATAAAAGAAAAGATAAGCAAATATAAATATCACCCTAACAGGACAGATTTTTTTTTAATTTCCAACCCTATTAAATGTTCTACAGATGTGTCACTCAGGTTAAGAGATATCCCAGGCAGAGCCAAATGTACTTTCACATTTAATGTATGTTGCTAATGAATGAAACTTGGAAACCAGATTGTACTTTCTATCATTTACATTATGCAGAAGATAGAGATTGTCACATAAGGAATTGTATGTGTTTTCACCTCCCTTAAAAGGAATTGTGAGTAAGGCATTATGGAATGACACTGGATTCGATTGCATGTGAATGCAATTTACTATTTTACTGAAAAGAGAATGCCTGGATCCAAAATTGATTTTTTAAACTGACTCACATATATGTGTGCATGAGGACGTAAACAGCTATATCACAGTTTATACGTTTCTTTAATATGAAATTTGTCCTGAAACAAAATAGAAAGCTTTTCCTTGCATACTGCTGTCGATGAGCTCTAGAACACTGTGCTGCGGCTCTATTGAACTTGCTCATCTGTGTCTCAGCGTGGATACAACATGGACAGAAAAGGGGAAACCTCACTCGCTCCTGCTCTCTTCTACCTCTCTTACCCTTTTCCTAGGTTTTCAGGGATTGCAGATTATTAGTCTTGAATTTTTACCACGTCAAGGGGCTGGATGTCCCGCGATGTCCTTTTACAGTCACCATATGTTGATGCCGAGAAAGGGAAAAGGGTTTTCTATTTTGTTATTCTTATTTGATTCGGACTTGATGAAAGTTTCTCAAATATATCAATAGCTACCCTTAATTATTACCGCTTTAAGAAACAAAATGCATGCAAAAAGCAACATTGTAGTTAGTATCTTTACTAAACTGCCATTTCAGGAATGAGGATTCTCACTTCTGCAAACTGTGAGCACACAGTTTGTTTCAGAGAAAATGACTTGACCTATAAATAAGAGATTTCAGGTAATAATGGCTCATGATGAAGTGGTTATTTCTTGTACTAAAATTTCTTCGTAAGAAATTTTCATAAGGAAAGAAAGAATAATGGTTTGCAGTGTGGACTTTAAAATGTGACTGTTTCATTAGGAAAATTTTTTTTTTAAATCATTTTATTGGGAGTTCTTACAGCTCTTTTGACAATCCATATATCAATTGTATCAAGCATATGTGTCCAGATATTGCCATCATCATTTTATAAACATTTACTTTCTCCTTTTGGCTCCCTTTCCTCTCCCACCCTCGTGACCCCTTGATAAATTATAAATTATTATTATTTTCATATCTTACTCTATTGTCTCCCATCACACACCTTTCTGTTGTTAATCTCCGTGAGGGATTATGCATCAATCATTGTGATTGGTTTCCCCCTTCCTTCTCTCCTCCCCCTACCTTCTCCCTACCCTTCTGCAATGGCTACTCCCATTTCTGTTCCTGGGGGGTTTATCTGACCTGGACCCCATGTGTCATGAGCTCTTATCTGTACCAGTGCACATGCTCAGGTCTAGCCTCAAAGAACCAGAGGGATATTGTGTGTTCATCAGGTGCTATACTGTGCCCTGGTTGACTCATCTCTTAACTTGTGACCCTTCTGTAAGGGGATGCCCTATCGTCTACATATAGTTTTGGGTCTCTGATCTGACCCGCCTTGTTCTCAACAATATGTTTTTTTGTTTGTTTGTTTTGGGTCTTCTGGTGTCTGTTACATAGTCCCATCGACACCTCATGATCGCACAGGCTGGTGTGCTTCTTCCATGTGGATTTGTTGCTTCTCTGCTAGATACTCGCTTGTTTAACATCAAGTGTTTAAGACTCCGGATGCTGTATCTTTTGATAGTCGGGCATCATCAGCTTTCTTTAAGTTTGCTTATGTACCCATTTTGTCTTCAGTGATTGTGTCAGGAGGGTAAGCATCACAGAATGCCAGATTGTTAGAACAAAGTGTTCTTGTGTTAAAGGATAGCTCGAACAGAGCCCCAAAATATGTCCACTTCCTCAAAGTATTGCCATAATAATATATATACATAAGACAATACTCAGTTTTTATGAATGAGTATATTTATATAAGTGCACACCTATGTTTATAACTCTAGCCATTGCTTTGCTTCCTAGATCTTTCCTCTGTTTCCTTTGACCTTCCTCCTGCCAGGAAAACTCTTGAAAAGGGTTTTTTTTTAATGAATTTCCTTTGGAATTCAATTGTTACTTCAATGAATCAATATCACAACTCAATTCCTTGGTTAGTTTATAATGCACAAGCCTATAGAATGCGCATAGCTTCTATTGGCACGTGCCTATCTCATTATGTTCCATCCCCAAAGTTCTGGGGACAAGAACATTGAGAGTGTGCTGGTATTTCATGGTTCTGAGAGTCCTTCTATAGTTCTCTGAGATCTTTGAAAGTCACTGTGCCCATGTCACTTACTCATTCAACTTGCATACGTATGCTTATCAAGTACAATCGAGGTCCAGGACCTTCATTGACAGAGCTCTCAGTTTCATAGAAAGACATATGAGACAAAACAAAAAGTCACCAGCCGTGAGCATTACCTTCCTTTTAAAAAATTAAATATGTGAGATCAAAATACTAACTCTGAAGTCCAGATGAGGACTTTACAGAGCAAAACGCAAACCCAGCACTCTGGAGTTGATCCAGCCTCATAGGGAGCGATTTTACTATGGTTTCTGAAGCTGTCCATCTTCAAAAGAGTTTACAGCCTCATCTTTTTTCCGTGAAACCACTGTTGGTTTGAACTGCCACCAAAGCTCCTTCCATAAGGAACAGAGAGTCTATATTAATGGTGGTGAAGGAAAATGCCCAGCGGTCATGAGAATGTAAAGTATGTAACCATTGTCAACAGACTGCTCATTGTCGATGTTATATACCTTCTTGTATAAATTTCACCAAAATGGAGCACAAAACCTAGCCTTCACTCTTAATCTAGACAGGCTTCTAAGTTAGCAGTATCTCCTCATTAATAAAAAATGAGAGGGTTAGAGGGATCATCTGTAAAACTTCTGCCTCTCCAAACATTTCAGACTACATTCCCGATTACACCTCTTCTGAGTATTTTCTTTTTACAGGCTCAGAGAACATGGCAGACGTCAAGTGACTGAAGTAGACTGGCTTTAGTTCCCCAGCTCAGATGTACAGTTGATTGTATTGGGATGCTGGTAAGGAGTGAGATATCTGAAAAGACTGAGTCAATAAAATCACAGGGCTTGGATTATTATACACATTTAGATTTTTTACAATAGAGTGGTGCCCCTCCCACCCCCCTGATGTAACTGCATGCCTCTTCTTGGTGAAAGCCTTATCCCTGAGGCTTCTATGTGGTTGTCCTTTTGTGGAATCTCTGAGAGCTGGTACACATTAGACATTGGCCCAGTCGTGTCTGTGGCTTCTTCATTGCAGCAGGAGGGTGGCTGCCTCTTCGTGCATCCTAAAGTATCATAATCCCTTGAGTTTCTAATTTGTCATGCTTCGATAACTTGAAAATGAGTTCAGCCATCCTACAATTCCCTTTACCCACAAACTACCCAAAGGGAGAATAAAAACAGCCATTGCCACTAAACAACAACAACAACAAAAAACCCACTGATGATTTGGGGTCCAGATGTTTTCTGTTGTCTTTTGACCGTACAGAGAAAAGCTACGCCTCATATCATTGGATAGAGGCGAAGAGCATGCTTCTGAAGAGGTAGCCTGAGTATTCTGAGTTCAATTCAGGTCCCTGGGTCTGTCGGTCTGTCTGTCTGTCTGTCTGTCTGTCTGTCTCCCTGCCTTCCTTCACTCCACCCTCCTCCCACGCCCCCCCTTTTTCATGGCTAGCGATAACTGTCT